AGAGAAAATTCTCAAGTTAGACTACTTAGGTTTGATTCTTTTTTTTTTTTTCTTAGGTTTGATTCTTAACTTTATCATTTACTAAAATAAGCCCTTGGTCAGGACATTTCATTCTCTGGGCCTCAATTTTCTTATCTTTGAAAGTGAACTCTGTGTATGTAATCATTAAAAAAAAAATACACACTAGAGTGCCTCTCACGGAGTAGACCTTAAGGATACTACAGCTGTAACTAGTCATACAAGTTTCTTTTTAAGACAGAGAAAGAGGATGATATGATGTTACTTGCCATTGAGATTAAATCAACTCTCAGGTGACCCTCCAGTAGGTTTTCTGAGACTATAAATTGCTCTGGAGGAAACATCTTCTCTTTCTCCCATGGAGCCACTGGTGGACTTGAACCTCCAGAAAAGCACCACCTTTAGGTTATCAGCACAACTCCCTATAAACAAGGTCATCAGAATTTATTTTCCCAACAATACGCTGACGTCAAAGAGCGTTTTAAAAGTTCGCCCATGCATTCACCTACACATTCCTGCACGTTCCTAAAGGACCAATCCATTCGCATCTACCAATACAGGAAAAGCCCCACTGGTCAATAGTTTCATAACGTAAAAAGATCATTGATTTTTCTTAATAACAGCTTCTCTCTAACTTGACCTTGCAAACAGAAAGAACGTAGGGTAACTGAGCAGTCCTAACAAAGGACAGTTCTCCTTCCTAACATCAGGGTGCTTGATTTCTGCTCTTGCTTTGAAAGGTGCAGAGTAAAGACAGCCCCTTTCCGGTGGATCCCAGGTAGCTTGTCAGAGACAAAGATGGAAAGACTGCATTGGTACATCCTCCTCTTTTCAAATTCTTCCCATTTAGGTCTAAGGGTAACATTTTGCCTATATGAGACTCCCTTAATATCATCTACTTAAGTCTTCTTTATCCCCAAATCTGGAGTTTATGAATTCACATCACATTACTCTGTTTGCCTTGCTTTCCACTACCTACTCTGTGTTGAGGGGAACTCAAGTGGTATAATTCATAGAGAAGTGATCTGCTGACTTAAAGGCTGTGCAGCTCTAGCAGTTGTAATCCACCGGTTGAGCTACCCCACAGGAGAAAGATGGGCAATCTCTTCTGGTGCAATTTATGGCCTCAGAAACCCACTGGAGGGGTAGCTAGGTGCCAACTTTAACTCTATAGCAATGATCCACTCAGCTCTGTTGTGTATGTTGGTGGTGATGGTGAAGCTAACAGAATTTTTAATGGATAAATAATGGAGACAACTCAAACAACAATATATGGGAAACCTTCCCTTTTCAGAAATCTACACCAACACCTATGCTGGCGGAGGCATAGCTGAAGGTGGTGTATCAGGCGTGGAGCTCAACACAGGTGTTGGAACAGCTGCTGGCCTCGTGGCAGGAAGCGCAACTGGAGCAACGCGGAGGAGAAGTTCAACGATCGGCACCCTGCGGGAATATGCCGAGTCCGGCGTGAACATGGCTTTCTTAGACAGCTATTTCTCTGAGGTAATTCCTCACACACAATTGTACATAGTCTTGAGTCTGTAAAATAATAATCATAACCATAATCCTTTTGTGCGGTGAGACACAATGGGAAAGCTTTAGCTCATGGGGGTTAAACCATGCCGTGCTCTCGGACAGGTTTTAATTGTTTTGGGTCAAACATTCTTTTAGTGGTGTAGCCCTGGTCTGTCCATTTGCTTTACAGAGGGAACTCATGGTTGCTGTGATGCTAAACACTGCGACACTGATGTGTCAAATGAGATCATGATTACCCATGGTGGACTGTGTTTGATGGAGCTCCCCAATTAAAACAAGCTTGGAAGCAGGAATGGCAGCCACTTCTGAAATAGCTTGCCTCCAGAAACCTTATGAACTTGGACAAACAATGAAAGTTATACAAGTGTTCAGGTCTTTCTTCATAGGGTCGCTATGAGTCATCTACGACTCGACAGCACTTAACAACACAACAATAATAATATTAAACTTATTTTCAAATATATTGTTATTCTTCATTCTATCTAAATCCTGAATTTAAACAAATGCCTCATTACTCTTTGTTGTTATTGTTGTTGTGTGCTTTAGATTCAGAACTGGCCCATAGCTGACCTTCCAGGGGGTTTTTAGAGGCAGAACACTGTGCAAAGTAGCTCGTGGATTCCAACCATCTGCCTTTAGGATTGCAGCACAGCTTCTTGCCAGTAAGCCACCAGAGCTCCTGCCCTTCCCCTTAAAATATGTTAAGCTGATTCGCTGTAGCTCCCTTCACTATACCCACTATGTCCACTTCTAGACAACTGATATGTGGAAATAAAGAGACACAGAGAAATAAGAAGTGAAAGAGAAAAGAAGGAGAGAAAGTCAGAGTTTTTACTGTAAAACCAGGCAGAAATATACATTCAGTTTCTACAATTAATGAGTTTAATGGAGTGTGATTCAACAAAATTTCTCATCTCAAATTCTTTTTTAAAAAAAACAACAAACCACAACATCAGCAACCAACCAGTAGCACTAAAACACTTATTTTCTTGGGATGGAGGTGAGTGCATATGCAGGATTTTTAGTTCCTTTAAAAAAAATCAAGAGTTCTAGTGGGCTGGTAATCAAAAGATCACTTGTTCAAATTCACCAGCTACTCCGTGGGAGAAACATGAAGCATTCCGCTTCCACAAAGATTTACAATACCAGGAACCCTATGAAGTAGTTCAACTTTGTCCTGTAGTCTCAATATAAGCAGGAATTGACTTGATGGCAATAAAGTTTTTGTTGGGGGTTTATTCACAAAATTAACTTAATATTATTTCCATCACTATCACCTCAGAAGCAGTAACTCAAATAGAATTCCTTGTAAGCAAGTCTGGGGATCAGACAAGCCATAAATTTAACTGTGCATGTTGACATAGGTATTTCTAATACTTAGACATACTTCTGCATATATGCTTTCATCAAATCTCTCTTCTTAAGGAAAAAAAATAGCTTTTTAATACATGTTAATATTTTTAATGTATGTTGAAGTATGTTCTCTGAATATTACAGTATCAGAAGCAGAGACTATTAAAAAAAAAAAAACAACTAAAAAATGTGTCAGATAAAAATCTGAGGGAGCTCTGGTGGCCTAGTGGCAAGAAGCTGCACTGCAATCCCAGAGGCACGCAGTTCAAATCCACCAGATGCTCTGCTGGAAAAGGAAGGATAATCTCCTCCTGTACTAGTCAGATCCAATTTGACAGTATATGTATACAAAATAACAAAATAAAATAAAAATTTTTTAAAAATCTGAGCAAAGTGTAGAAATTATCATTGATTTGTTTTCAAATAAGAGTCATTCTCATTTCCCAAAAAACCCATTTACCATTAATACAAGTAATCTACTCATGGTAGCAACAGTCAAGCAACCAAAAGGTATATTGGATTGGGAACATCTATTGTAAAAGGTCTTATTAGAGTGCTAAAGAGCAATGATGCCAGTTTAACGACTATGGTGCATTTGACCTACGCCAGGATATTTTCACTTGGCTCATATGTATGGGGATATTTGAACAATGAATAAGGAAGGCCAAAGAAGAATTGACATCCTTTAATTGTGGTGTTGGGGAAAGACTGTCAAATATACCCTGAACTGCCAAAAGAACAAACAAATCTGTCATGGAGAAAGTGCAAATAGAGGCAAGGATTGTCAAACTTTGTCTCATATACTTGAGGCATGTTTTCAAGAGAGGTTAGTCCTTGGAAAAAGACATCAGGCTGAGAAAATGTTGATTCTGTTAAGGAGAGGAAGACTTTCAATGAGATGGACTGGCACAGTGATTGTAACAGTGGATTTGAGCATTGTGAAAATCATGAGGATATCCCAGAATAGGGCAAGGTATTGAGCTGGTGTTCACAGAGCGACGATAAATCATAGTAGACTGGACAGCAACTAACAACAATCTAAAAAATGTCCCATAATTTAGAAAACAAATACTATTTTTCTCCCAGTGCATACCATAAAATCTTAAAGCAAAAGTCTCTAGTTGGTTCATTCTTCTCCAACTACTTTAAAGTTAAAATCAAACTTCTAATCATCTATTTTTTTCTAATTCTAGAAAGCATATGCTTTTGCTGATGAAGATGAAGGTCGACCAGCAAATGACTGCTTGCTTATTTATGATCATGAAGGAGTGGGTTCTCCTGTGGGCTCCATTGGTTGTTGTAGTTGGATTGTGGACGACTTAGATGAGAGTTGCATGGAAACTTTAGATCCAAAATTTAGGACTCTTGCTGAAATCTGCTTAGACACAGAAATTGAGCCGTTTCCTTCACAACAAGCCTGTATTCCTATCAGTACAGATCTCCCTTTGCTTGGACCTAACTATTTTGTTAATGAATCTTCAGGAATGACTCTCTCAGAGGCTGAATTCCAGGAAGAAATAGCAATGCCTGAGCCCATCCTTCCTGGGGATATTATAGTGACTGAGACTTACACCACTGGGGATCCATGTGCCCATCCGACCACAATTGTCTTTGATCCACAGCTGGCACCCAATGTTGTTGTAACTGAAACAGTAATGGCACCTGTTTATGATGTTCAAGGAAATATTTGTGTACCTGCTGAGTTAGCCAACACACATAACATAATCTATACTGAGAGAGTGCTGTCTAGTCCTAGTATTCCTGGTATGAGTAGTAGTAGCATGGTTGATGGTTGTATGGGATCCATGATAAGTGGCAATATTCTTGTAGGGCCTGAAATTCAAGTGGCACAAATGGTGAGTCCAGATATTCACATTAGCCAGACCTCTAGCTCCACATCCCCAATCACATCTCGACACAGGGTAACACAATATAGCAACATACATTACTCCCAACAGTAAATGCTTTATGTTCACTATGCTATATTTAATCTTGTGCCTGATAAACACCAATATATCCATCAAAGATATATGGCTGTGCTACATAACACATGGTAACAGCCAAAAAAAATTCAAACACTTTATGTTCCATGCTGCTCTTTCAATGCCTTTTTGGAAAATTAATGTGGCTATAAATTTTAGAACTCTTTAATTCTTTCTAATTTTAAGTCATGGGCCAAGAATTGTAAAGAAGATATGTAGTTTGACACTATATCCAATAACACACACTGCATAGTGGATTTTGAAATCCAAAGAACCAGGCAGGTAAATAATTATGATATTGCAATAGAAGATTTATAAAAAACTATTGTCTTTATTTACTAGTCATATACACCACTGCAAAGGCATTGAAATGTTTGAAATATATGAAAATATTTGCATTGAAAAGACAGATAAAACATTCATTTCTAATGGGGATGTGAAAAGGAATATGGAATGTCTATCAACAGAGATGCAAAGACAATGACCTATTTAAAAGTCTCTCAAGATATACAATATTTAGGGAAAAGTTTTCACCAACTGAATGCTTCACTAGAAACTATTCATCCAAAGTAATATATATTATATATATGTACATATGCATACAACTCAATATGGATGAATTTTGGTTGCACTTTATTGATTTATAGCGTTAACTGTAAGGTAATATAGAACAGAAAAAGAATGTATAACAACTGTATTGCAGAAAACAGTTGTTGGGAGACGTATCAGAGTTTATGTCCTTTGAAGGGGATTTTCTCCTTCACTCTTGAGGTAAAAAGTTGCACTGAGGCACCAGAGGCACGTGATTCAAATCTCCCAGCTGCTTTGCAGGAGAAAGATGTGTGATCTTCTCTCATGTGATTTACTGCCTCAGAAAACTCGCTGGAGGGTTAGCTATGAGTAGATTACAACTTAATGACACATAAAAACAACTTGTTAACTATATCAGAAGTATATATGAAACATAGTTTAATCAGTTTAACTGATACGAGTCCCAGAGCTTTCATTAAGCAACCAAATTTTCCTCAGAACCTACTGGGGATGTATTGATATTCAACAAATATTTCCTTAGATGCTTTTGTGTTGAGTGCTGATCTTTACTCTGAATATTTAACTGAAGAAGACACAAGTGATTCCTGCCTTCACCGGCCTTCTAATTCTTTTCTGTACTTGAAATTGGATTTTGGGGATATGGTTTCAAGTTCCTACCAGGAAAAAAAATCAACATGCTATTTCACTCTTTTACTAAGTTATATTTTTCTTCCTAAAATTACTACTTATGTTGAATGAATGAAATGGAAACATGTATATCAATTGCTTATTTTTAGTATGCACAAAGCTGGCTTGAAAGAAACACGTTCTGTCAAGATAGTTGTATTTATTTCTGTAAAATATGTAAACTGTATTAAAAGGCATTTGTGACCAGTAGGACAATGTAAATGAGTTAACATTTTCAGGCTTATTTCTCTTGGAAGGCAATAATTGTGATGCTTCTTGGTTGGTTTCTTGTTGTTCTTTTATGAATAAAACTCAGAATTTGAGACATCTCAACCACTTGCCCAAGTCTCTCATATTACAGATAAGAAACCTCGAAATAGAGGTTAGATGATAGCAGTCAACTAGCTGTGGTACAAAAGCTTGTGCTCATTAATTTAGATCAATTCAGAGCAAGCTCAGAGTTCCATTGTTCACATGGCCAGTGCACTTTTCAATTTGCTAAACTTCACCAGACATTGAAAGGATACGGTTTCCCCCATGAATCTCTGCTGCTTCCCAAATGAACTAAAAAATACCTCTCAAAAAAGGTAGCTTTTGTGAAATTTAAAGAAGAGACTATGGAGTCCTTGGGCGCTGCCCTGGTTAAGGGAGAACCTTCTAAATAAAATGTAGGTAGATCAAATTTATCCAGAGGTGTCTTTCAACAGTAGGTGGTTATTTACATGTTTTTCAGTCTTCTTTAAATTATGCTCACTGCTTACTCTTACAGGAGTTCTGGTGGCCTAGAAGACAGGGAGGTTTTCTGCTAACCTAAAGGCCACGCCTTGGGCAATTTGAATCCCCCGGTGGCTCCTTGGGGCAGGACTGAATAAACAAGGAACTCATGAAATGCTATGCTAGGTGGATGACCCGAGAGGACATTATGCTGAGTGAAATATCTCAGTCACAAAAGGACAAATACTGCATAGAGCCACTATTGTAAAACAGGCTGTAAAACAGTGGCTGTAAAACAGCCACTAATGTAAAACATTGTAAAATGTAATGACATTGTGATTGAGGGAAGAAAGAAAAGAAGGGGAAGAATTATGTATACTGCATTACAACAGATGAGGGAGAGAACTGTTTAAAAGGGATATATGATTAGGCGTTATTGTTATGACAGGAGTCCAGAATGATGGCTGCACAGTGCAGTCGACTTGGGGGGAGGGATTGCATAGCAATGAAAAAGTTTTTCTTTTACTTATCAAGCAGAAAAGTAAACTAGGGGAGAGAGGGTAGGAAGGGAGAAAAGTGCAACAATGAATGACTGGAAACCCTAGGTCTCTGTAAACTTTCATTAAAATTAATTTTAAACAAAGATTTTTAAAAGTGGACATTCTCCTCCTATGCAATTTACAACCCGGGAAACGTGTTCAAGGGTCAACTGTGAGTCCTACTCAAAGGCAATAATTTGATAGAGAGCTAGCTGTTGTAATTTTAATAACTAAGACACTGCTGTATTTCACTGTTCTCTAATTCTCAAGAAGAATTACTGAGGAGTATTCAGAGTCACAGTCAGCCCATAGCATCTTGCATGCATTTGATTCTTCAGCGTATCCTGGTAAATTTATTTCTGTCTTGAAGAGTACATTTTACTAGACCAATAATTCTAAGAATTAAAGAAGTGAAAGTAATTACCTATAAATTTAAAAATCTGAAAATCCAGTACAATTTGAGATATGAAAATGGCATTAAATGGGAATCCCATAACTCTTGATTGTGCTCATGTGAAACTTATACCTACACCATGAAGCTTTCGTATAAGCAGAGCCAGGGAAACTGCATGGTTCAAAATAAAAAAAGGAGTGAAGTGTGTCAAGGATGTATCCTTTCCCCATACTTTTTGAATCTATATGCGGAACAGATCATCCAAGAGGCTGGACTCTATGAAGAAGAACATGGCATCAGGATTAAAGGAAGACTCATCAACAACCTGGAGGATACAGATGATACAACTTTGCTCAACGAAACTGAAGAGGACGTGAAGAGTTTGCTGCAGAAAGTCAGACTACAATCTTCAATGTGGATTACATCTCGACATCAAGAAAACAAAGGTTCTCACCACCCTGGCAATTGGCAACATCATGATAGATGGATAAAATATTGAAGTTGTTAACAATTTCATCTTGCTTAGATCTTCAATCAACATTCTTGGTATTAACAGTCACGAAATCAAAAAACAAGTGTCTTTAGGAGAGTCTGCTGTCAGGGACCTCTCCAGAATGCTGAAGAGCAACAGCGTCAACCTAGACACTAAGGTGCACCTGGTACAGGCTATGGTCTTCTCTTTTGCTGGCTAGGCATCTGAGAGCTGGACAATGACTAAGGATGACAGAGGAATTGATATTTTTGTGCTGTGGTGCTGAAGAAGTGTATTGAACATATACAGACTGCCAAGAGAATAAATCAGTGTGTCCTGGAGAGAGTGAGACCAGTTTGCTTCTTGGAGGCAAATATTTTTAAGCTCTGTCTCACATACTTTGGGCATGTTGCCAGAAGGGACTAGTCCTTGCAGAAGGACATCATGCTTGGAGGGATGGAGAATCAGTGCAGGAGAGAAAGACTCCACATGAGAAGGATTGACCAGTAACTGGAGTAGTGGAGGGAGGTGTGTCAGAGACAATGAGAAAGGATAGAGCAGGGTTCAGGGATATTGTTCTTAGGGTCACTATGAGATGTGGCTGACTCGATGGCACCTAACAACAACAACAACAACTAAGATTCAAGCTAGTAGATGTAATAGTCTCAAAAATTGTGAGAAGGGTAAGAACATGTTTCTGTACTCTTTCAGTTTTAGCTCTGTATTACTATACAAAAGACTTAAAAAGGAATTCTACCTCTATTCTATTTCTTCCTTCATAGTATCTTAGCAACAAGATCAGGGTCATTTCATTGTCTCTCTCAGTATTATCAATGAAAATGAACTTTTCCATCAGTGTCAAGAGACTTAACTGACATATAAAATGACATATAATCTTAGTCATGGACCCTGTCCCTTGAGAGAATAACACTACTAAATAAATAGAATCTCTTGGTAAAATCTTATTAGGTAATGAAAAAAGGAAACCATCAGAATGAGAATAGTAATTGTAAACATGGTTCAGGGATTTTTTTTTCAATTGAATCCTTTGAACTAAAAATTTCCAGTTGTAATGTATTACTTAATGAAATAATGTTTTATAAATTTCTTCAATAAAAACATATGATAATGAAAACAAGTTTCACTTTTTCTCTGGTCTGTGCACATAGACACTCATATGTAAATCCTTTTGACAGGATTCATTGGTGGAACGAAATACAGATCATTTGCTTATTACTAAGCAGAATAGAATCATTATTTTGTTTAATATCCATCATAAAATAGCAAACTGAATAAAGTAGATAGTGTTCACATGGGCGTCATTTATAGGATTAAATGGACTGGCTGCAGTTCCTAGATTATGGCATGTTCATGGTCACTCATGCTTTTTTGCCTGGTTCCTTAATCTAGACTCCTTCCCATTCTTATTATTTTCTGTTTGAAGCATTCCCTGCTATCTCTTCCACTGTCCAGCCTAACTGCTTAACTACTCATCTGTTAGTCCTTTTAGTTATAAATACATTCATTTTTTCCTGAGTCTGTCAGTTGGTGAGCTTTGCAATAAGAAGGACAGTGCTTTTCTCATTTCTCTGTGTCTAGTATAATAGAATATCTAGTTCATGTTCTTATTGGTAAGTACTAT